AACTACGACTCAAATACTACTTTAATGGCCCTATGTCTGACTTTAGTTAGAGTAGATGAATGGTCGTTATTGAATGATTGCCGTCGAAATATACATGTCGCTAATCATCGCATATAATCGTCAACTTAACTCACATGTTGTTGAATTGTATCATACTGTAACAAAAACGATACCATAAGGCCCAAACAAGATCTTAAATAATCATTGGAATCTTCCGGTCTTTGGTGGTTTGCTGTAAATGAGTTCAGTTGCATTATGGTTCATACGAACTATCAGTAAGTGAATATGCGTTGAACCTTCATTTTTATGAAGGATTCCTTGTCAGAAAAGACTTAAAACCACACACCGAAATGCATGGGGAGTTCAGCAGACAAGATTTCAGTAAACGTGTGAGATTGCTTACAATATTCGTTCGAACAAAATTCTTACACTGCATACCAGCCGTTGGCACATATTTACGAATGGCCTATAGTAGATTCAAAAAGCTGAAAATGGTTTGGTCCATTGGATCTCACATTTACTATGTAACGAGAGATTTTCTGGGCTGGTTATGTCCCCATAACCACTCTGTATGGCTAGATGTGATTTATCTACAATATATAAGTTATTTAATAACAAATACGCACTAAAAGCCCCCCCAGAGTAGCAGAGATTCAGACACATACGCCTAGTCTCATGTTCTTAGAATAAATTACCTGCCGTGTAAGTTACTTCAGTCTTGATGTATTTTTGTACACTGAATGCTATCTACTTCTTTTTCATGACTACCTGAGCATCATGAGGTTTTGAATTCTGGAAATGAAAAGGATTCCGAATTATTGTAAATCTGCCGGTTTAGGTGGAATTCATTCTGACGTCATGTTAAGATTGATTATTAATAACCCCTTTGGATGGTAAGGTCAGAAAAAGCCTAAAAGAGCCTTGTCAAAACATCTGTGGTACAGCACGTAGAGCGAGTGGAGATCAGGCTTGTCCTACATAAACACATACAAATTTTGTTGGCCAAAATGGGAAGTTGTAAAATTGAATACCACATAAAATATGAAGGTAAACAACCCTGGCTTCAGGCTGTTATCTTTTCACTCTAACAACAGGCTTAAGACCAACTGTTAACCTCAAACATTTGGCTGCTACGATCTTAAAATGATTTTAAGATTGTTTTCCTTTTCATACTCTGTTTTCTACCCAAGATTCTGAAACACTTATAAGTATGTATGACATTTAGAGTTGAATGGAAACACTAGGTTTTGCTTGTGCCCTAACTTTTCAAAAAGTCTTTCTCTGGATATATGACCGGAAAAACGGAGAGTTCCTTTTGCTTAATACCAAACGATGCAGATGTTAAATAGCTGTGATAGAGATACCTCATAATTTTAGGGTGTTTTTGGGATTATACTCTCTATTACACAAAAGAATATGAAATCACCATATGTGATACTCTCTGAATTTCTTTCGGATGACATTATGTAGCCACTAAAGTAAACCAGGTTAAAGGTTTCTTTCTAGAGCATTAGTAGCCTAACTACGTAATATTTCCAGACAATTTTCAATGTGTACCGAAAATTAAATTTGGGTAAAAACAGGAGCATGACTTCTCCCTAAAGGCAGCACATTTTCGGGACATGTTTAAAGACTTATCAAGAAGACACTCGAAATGAAAATGAAACCCTATTCACTTACTCTGGAGGCTTTAGATTTACAGTATGTACAATACAGAAGGATTAAAGGGTGTATGATCGGGAATTCTTATATAGATCATAATCTTAGTATCAACAGACTACCTCAATCAAGTAATATATTTAAGAGATCATCCATTATGTATAGATTGCGGAAGACTAGCAAAATGTCGTGCTAGGATTCACACCACTAAAACCAGTTGGCTGTCGGATCCCCAACAGAAAAGCTATCAGTGGTACCTTGATTTTGCAGGAGCAGGCTCAATGATTATCTTAGTTCTACAGGTATTGATTTCGGATTACTACCCAAAAACCACTATTGATGATATTAAGAAACTAAATAGGAATGATAACTTTTAATAACCATGAACGCTTTCTCAGCATCCAGATGCAGATTCCAAAGAACAGACAATTCGTTATTCTGGTTTATCATAACTGAAGTTCGTATTTTAAAATATCAGTTTTTGTAACAAGGTACAACGGAACACTTTGCTATAACATTTATTTACAGAAACGTAAGTACTAGCGTGAAAAACGCGGTTTAATAAGCTGAGAAATTCTCACAACCAAGGCTAAAAAAGACGGTCTTCTTCAGACATTCGAGATGAGTTGTTAGCACTTTTCGTTCTAGCAATTTACAGTACACCTTTTTAGTCATAAAGTTCTTTTTTTTCTGGGTATTATTGTATCTAGTTTCTTCTTGAAAACCTCTGTTTCATGGCTCAACAGTGCAAGAAAAAAAATTGCCGACGCCCGGGCAATCGATACCCGTTGAAAGCGGCATGCAGTGAGACTAGTGGAAAGGCCGGTACCACGAAGTTTGCGCGAATCTAATGCCTGAGACTTTCAAACGGTTTAGTACAAATGGCTGTGTGTGGTTTTGCCAGCAGTGTTGCTCGAATGCAAACAGCTTGCCAGCCATTACACTGGTAAATGCTGCTAAAAAGTGTATTAGCAAACGAGGTCGGGACACATCGGACAGTACTCGATCTGTCGACACAAATCGATTTGAAGCAGCCTCATGGGACGTCGGAAACAACTGACTCACGTCGATCTAGGGAGGAAAGACTGATTTAAAAGAGGTTTGTCCTAAATAAAACCTTAAGAAATGAAGTTTCCTTTCCCCCGTCTTTTAAATTGTAGTTGTCAGTAAACCCTAAGAATCCCGGTCGCAAAGCTAGATCTGTTTCTTCCAGTAAAAACAACCTGACTGCCCATGTTACCGATAACCTCTCGGAATCCCGCAGTGTGTTTAATGCGACTATGGCTGCTAGTCCAACGAAATATAATAATTGGGCACAGCTCGAGAACAAGAGACGACATAGCACTATTAGAGGAAATTCAACACAGCAAAAGTAGCTGAAAAATTAAAGCTTGATCACAGTAACAGGTTAGTTATCTTTCATAGAATCAAGGAGAATAAAGGCTCAGAACCTAAAACTCGTTTCGAGTATGACATTGGGTCGATAAAACAGCTACTAAATCAGCTTATGCATCAGGATATTTCCGGAGTCACTTTTCTAAGGATGTATAGACTAGGGAGCCAAACGAATTTGAAACAAAACCAAACCAGGATGCTTAAAGTAGTATTTAAATCCCTTAATGAATGGGACTTAATAATACAGAATGAACACAAACTGAAGGGTTCGGGAGTTTTTGTCCGCAAGAACTTGTCGCTCGCAGACCGTGTAAAAAGACGAGAAGCCGAAAAAGAACTAAAACGTAGGTTAGATGCTAGCGAAAAGGACCTAAAAATTATAAATTTTTGGGTTATGACACTCCGATAGAGGATGGTTCAGAAGCCATTTTGGGTGCAGCACGAAGCCTTCGGAACTGTTACACAAATGAAAGAAGCTTGCTCAATAGGCGGTCGGAGCTAGGAGTATAGATTGACTCTACCAAGCCAGGTATAGTCACAGTCACAGAAACGTGACTGGCGGAGCCTATAGATAGTATGGAACTTGATTTTGAAGGTTTTACGTTGGTAAGAGCCGATAGAATACAGAGACGTAGAGGAGGGGGAGTAGCTTTATTCATTAGGAATACTATCCCATTTACCATTATCGAAAGTGTATCCCATGAGAGTGGGACAAGAGCAGCCGATTGGTTTGGTCTGCCGTGATCCGAGCTGTGAGGTACATGAGGTCTTGCGAGACCGTCTCAATACTTGGTCAGAAAATGGTCGATGTCTAATTTCATGAGACTTTAATGCACCTACGGCAAACCGAAAAAATCTGGGAACAAAATTGTCAGGAAATCCTCTCGAGTAGGAACTGGTTGATGCGGTTATCACATGTGTCCTAGTACACCAGGTGAAAGAAGTGACTGGGTACGATCCAAACTCCGAATCATCCTTACTAGATCATATATTGACCCATTATATGGATGACGTCACGAACCTCGATTACATGCCACCCTTAGGTAAAAGTGGTCATGCAGGTCTAACCTCTGACTTTCATATAGTTGTCAGAAACAAGCACATGTCAGCTCAACCCACACCAAACGTCTGTAAAGCAAATATACAGGATATTACACACTCAGCATCGTCAGCAGATTGGACAATAGAACCAGAGTCCCCGACTGAAACAGCTTGTGATGTATTCCAAAATGTATGCTTAAAGGGTACCGCTTAGATCTTCAAAACGACCTGAAGAAATTATCTGAGTGTTCTCAAACTTAGCAGTTGCCGATAAAACTTCCAAGTTCATTAAGCTGTATATTGGTCACCAAGGTACAGATGGATACATGGTAAACAACATTGAGCCATCTGTTGTCTAGACACATAATGACTCAGGATTCATTATAAGTCAAGGCCTAAAAAGGTATTGCACACTGCTGTGTGATAGCCGAAAAAGGTTTTAGGACTCTACGGTTAATACGTAGGACCATTAGCCATGTCGTAGATAAAACATTTTTAATTTGTATACAGTATTCGTGTGTCCTAAGCTAGAGTACTGCATACAAGTGACTGGCCTCTGTTTAAAAAAAGACAGCGAACGCTTGGAAAGTGTTCAAGGAACAGATGCTAGGCTGATTCCTGGAATAGCTAGGCTCCTGTATGATGCTTGATTGGCTTAACCAAAACTACTTCCTTTGTCAGATCGAAGAACCAGATGTGACTTGACTACAGTTTTCAAATTACTTGGTGATAAAGTTGCATGTGATACGCTCTCATATTTCTTGTCTTCCAAAAGATAGAATTTACGAGAACACTGCAAAAACGTTCTCAAGCCCAGGACAAATTACTTGTCAGCTGAATATCGACTTTCCCACTGAAATATCAGCGGGTGGAATTCATTGCCTCAATACGCTATTAAGGTTCCATCTGTTGACTCTTTCAAGAGAAAGTTGGAGCGACTGAGAGACCATCAGTTCCAGGACTGACACAGGCCAACAAACATCCTATCCCTTCCAAACCGATAAACAACAGTGGTTCTGAAAATTCCGTCAGCGAATTGTATTCACTTTTATTACCGCAGAAAATAATGATAAGCCACATTTTTTGTTCCCTCCTATAACTACTTGTAGTGATTGTATCCTGCAAACTAGGATACGATATTTTACTGTGTTTTAGTTCTCCACTCTATCGAAGGCGGGCTAATTACTTGAGATCGTGTTTTTGTGCTGCAATGTCAGAGAAGAAAGCAGATGTCCCACAGTTGTCAACAAGGAACTGGGTTCGAGTTACATTGACAGCCGCCAGTGTCAAACCACTTGAGAAAGTCACTGATGGTCTTATCAAGAAGGCGAAAGATCAAAATCTGAGGGTTAAGGGCCCTGTACGTATGCCAACAAAAGTAAGTGGATATTTCCTCTAAACTGTTTTCTAGGTGTTACGAATCACTACACGAAAAACACCATGTGGTGAGGGCTCAAAGACTTGGGACAGGTTTCAGTTCAGGATTCACAAGCGTGTAATTGACCTATTGTCGACGGATGAAGCTACCCAACAGCTTAAACACATATATCTAGAGCCTGGTGTTAACTGTGATGTTAAAGTCGCAGGAGATTTGTAATTTGTAATAAAGTTTTCTTAACGGATATGTAGCTTGCTTTTTATCTCGAAAGATCAATGTAGTTAAGACATCCTAGCGTGGGTTAATATTATTTAGGCATACCTCGAATGATAAACTTTTGTAGTTATGTTTTTAAATATCAACATTCTAAAGTGATATGTCTTCTAGAGCGACTGAACTTGTGATGATTATTAGTAATGTTTATTTGTGCGAAGAGCAATCCAGAACTTTGTTACATATTATCGGCTAGCTCATGTCTGTTGAAGTTAATGGTTATATTTAATTTGGAGCGCTTCACTATCTAAATTGATAAACGCTGATCATAACCATTTGATTCTCAATCGTTGTGCTTGGTTTTTCCCCATATTTTTCGATCATAGCTACAGGTTACTTCGTCGTGGACTTTAGTAAGATTGTCCTATCTTGAGTTTGTTATGTCTCGAACTTACCCTCTATTCGCGCATGCTAGTGGTTTGGAACTACTTTCTTATGTATAGGAACGTCATGATTTTGTATCAATCTAGTTTATAAGCCTAGTCTTTAATTATATATTTGGAGCAACTTACATTCTTTAATATCAAAACTGGTTGGGGTCGCATTATTAGCTTACGTTGTTCTTAGTAATTGAAGTATATCTTAAAATGTTTCGATTGTTGTATTCTTAGTATGGTTGTCTGTTTTAATACTATTAATGAAGAGCGATGTCATCCACATATTAGTAAAATACGACGCCGTCGTGAGGGGAATGCCAAACTATTTGGATGTTGGGTTTTGGGACGTTTACAAAAATTTAACAAAAAGGTACTAGTTCTGACGAGGTTATGTTGTTTCTTACCTGTAGTTATGGTAGGCGTTTTCTTGATGTACTTCGTTCTTCACTTATTTGGTTACCGTAACTGAACATATTAATTCACAAGGGTCCTCCTATAATTTCTGAAAACAAATCAATGAAGGCAACGAACTAATCATTTTTAGTATTAACAAAACAATATAGCTAACATGCACCGTCGTTGATACCGGACTTACCTTCTGGTAATCCACAGTTGATTATCATTTAAGTTCTGACAGCAGGGGATTGTAATGAACGGTAATTTCGAATGACACACTGTATAGTGCAGTCTGGTTATTTTGTCATGTTTCCCCAAAAGAGTTGATTTTGGATGCTTTTTCCTATATTACGTACCTAGTTGTTAACCTGAGCTTAAAGCTAACCCAATCTATCAAATATTGGTCAGCCTATATAACAGAATCATATTACTGGTAATATTAGTTTCCTTCACTGAATAGTAAACATAATCTCAAGAAAAAGATTCATACGACATAGGAATCCAAATGTGGGTAGGAACCAAATCAAATGTATGATACACGTTTTGCTAAAACTCTAACATCATAGTTCACAGGTTGTGTAAGTGTGGAACTATAGTCTTTAGAGAATAACGTCTTATACTGGTTATACTTATGTAAAACAGCTTTTTTTATTACTGACCGTTCATGCTCCCCAGAGGCTATGGGGATAGATTATCTTTACATTCAAATAATTTGGGAGACGGAAAATCGTAAGTTTTTGGTTTGAACATAAAACATAATCATGTCCCACCCACATCTATATTTTTCGGAATACAAAATAGTCAATCTTCACTCAAGTAGTTGTGACATTGAATATACTTCAGGACTTGTTTTTCTCAGATTCATGCTGCATTTGGTTTCAACGTCTCATTGCTTTTAGAAGCCCCACATAGCTAGAGCTACTAGAAGTGGTCATTAGAGTTCAGTTGTGAAAATATGCAATACCATCGGGTTTATAAATTATCCAGATATCCTAATTTGGACTGAATAGTACTTTCCCATACTGTTTTGTGTTTGAAATTCCATTATAGGTGCACCACTAATAATAATGAGGATTGGTATATTGTTCGACCCAGGGTAACAGGTATTCAGTCATTTTAACTTATCCTTCAGCGAACCTGTTATTTTCTCAGAATTGTCGCATCCACTAAGCGAGACTTTAACTAAACCATCTTACTGTTCCCAGGAGTCGATGATTACGTATGTGATGACTGAAAATAATAGCAGAGTTGTTGATATTACAATTAACTTTACGTTTTGAAAGACAACATCCATAATAATAATAATAATCTATCAGAGTCGGTTATAGGAAGTAATCTCGCAGCATACCACCATTGAATTGAAAATTAGCAATGCCTAATGGGACGTTAACTCGTTTTCCGTACTATCTGTTGTGAAACAATTATCTGAGTTAAGTTATTATTTATCGTTTTGGTAAGGATGTGTAAATAAGTCAGAAAACCTATAAAGCAAGTCTATGGTTATAGGAGTGTTTGTGGAATATCGGTTATGAAGATAAATACAGCACATGTGAGTTACATTATTTTCATCAATTAGTGAGATAAAATGTCATTGGTGACTTTTGGATAATTGGTTATACGTGTAATTAGGTTTACTTCCTAATAAACTTTACACTAGGTACAGATAAAGTATTTTAACATGAATAAACCTGTGCACTGTGAGGGGAAACCTATATTCTAAAGGGAACAGTATCATGTCAACAGGTGTAGTGTCATTGATTCTGATTTCTCTTAAAAGTGCTGTACTATTTCCTCATTGAAGCTTTGACCAAATAACTACCCTTATTTCTTGTATCTAGCTTCTCTGGTCTCTGACTTGAAATCGGTTGTCATCGAACCTGCACTTCAAACGCAATATAAATAGCTATGTATTTGATATGGGATATATGTTATTGTGCCTAGCCTTTTATAATTCCAGGATCTGTATACCAGAAAATTACAAATCAACTACCATTCTATAAACGTTTGGTACACCCGCTTACTAAAAGGGGTTCGTACTATTACGTGCTATTGGGTTCATTTGTAATGTTCAACAGGGAGACTTTGTCTTAATGAAGTATGAACTTGCCATACATAGCTTTGCATAAATATTAAGACTTTTAATGAGTAAATTGTTTGATATCAAGATTTTTTATGTATCGAATAAATACATCGTCCTGATATAAACAAGTAAATCAATTATTTGAAGTAGTCTTTGTCCAGAGACTATGCCCTTACAAGAATAATAATTCAAGTTAAGATGAAAACCTGAATAGTCAATTAGAAGGTAAGTACTTTAAATCTTGGTATGAAGTGGGTTTCGTTTCAGTGTCAGTCATCTCTGTATTCATAAATAAAATGTTAAACTATAATCACCTACATGTTAGGATGTTTTTTTCAATCATATCCGTTAACAGTGATGATCTGATAGCATCGAGTCTTTATTGACAGACAGTATGAAACATGTTATCAAGTTCCAATAAGCTAAATATATATATATATATATATATATATATATATATATATATATATATACTATTTAATAAAGAAAAGCACTGCGACAGTCGTGCGTACAGTTTTGAAAAATCGATTCGAGATTGGGATCCGTACTCAGTCGATATGAGGGACTTGCTTGTATCCATTTTCGGTTGTCCATTTCCAGTTAATGTTATGACCTTGGGTGTCTGACTTTTCTATCACACGATTTATCTACCAATCCGAATACGACTTATACGAATCTTCACACTAGGCCAACCCAATGACGTTCAACCGGTGTGGGCAGTTTAGCGTCCTTATTGGTCCTATGTCCTCCGAGCCCTTCCACTTGAATCCAGAACACAATACCAGCTTCCGTAATATGAATCGAATCAGAGCAGATCAGACCAGATCGTTTATTTCAGACATACCCGGTTTATATATCAATCAGACAGACCACAACGTACCATAAAATAGAAATTAACATGTGTACACAAATAAGCCAAAAAGTGGCTGTGAACGAGGGGACAGTGAATAATAGACTGAGCATAGCTTAAGAACCGTAAATCGTACAATGATAAATTATAGGTCAAAATAAAGCTTGTAATAAGAGGAATATAAATATACTTAATCTAATTATTCAATAGTTTTACAATAAGAATATTTATAGAATATTAGTCCATTAGTAGTCCTCGGGAGTTACCTGTAATTTGATCCTCACTGGGTTATAACAATTAGCATTGCTCCTAAGTGAGGTAAACTATGTAGAACACCATATTAAATTAGTTAATTCACTTCAATACAATGTGGTGTAATAATTAATATAGGAGTTAGCACGAATGTGCATCAGTCCAAGTTTTTACAACAGATCAGCATAAGTAGTTTTAGTGATAGTAAAAAAAGATTAGAAGTAGGGAATATATATCAAGAGAAGAGAGTGAAATAAGAGAACAAAGCATAAAAAGTAATATTATAACCCAAGATCTAAGGGGTGGGAAGTAATCAGTGCATCTGCACCACTGTGACCTTTTACGATTCAACCACCTGATGCCTCCAGTCATTGGTCAAGAATATCAAACAGAAACTAGCTACATAGTGCGGACATACTAGCACGACTTAGACCAATATGGGAAGAAGTTCATTCAGAATAAAAACATGATATAACATGTAAATAGAAAAAGTCTTTCAAAACTTATTTCTAGATCTGTTTAATAGCTAGGGACGCCATATTTCTATTTGTCCATTAATATAAATTGGGAATAAATTATCTAAATTTTGTGGATTTAAGACATTTATAAAATTTGTATGTCTGTAGCGTGAGAATACACTAGCTCGATCGCTGAAATTAATAACTTCTGACTATCCAATAATGAAATATTTTTATAGGGTACCGGACTGTTTTAAATTAATCAGTTTACTTATTTGATAAACAGATACGATTGCCAATGTCTCTAAACAATATATCATCTAATTAATCAATTTTACGTTGCATATCAGGTTTACAACTCTTATTGTTAGTACTTTTAACTGAAAGCAATAAGAATGGGTATTTCATTAAATGCAATGCAAGCATATATCACAGTCTGTAGTTAGTTAGTTGTTTGCAGAATAGAACTTGGGGCATACATGAATCAGTTTAAATTGTCACACCATAGCTTGCTTAAGTTAATAAAACGAAAGGTAGCAACAGTACTAGGGGTGATA